CCCCTCGGTTGTTTTTTCTGCTGGGTGCTGGCAGGCTGCGGGCGTGAGTGAAGACACTGCGGGGTAAAAAGGAAGTCGTGAGCCGCCTTGCCGGCGGCTAAATCCGTGTCTGAAAATCGTGAAGTCTAACGCTGGTGTGTGTGGTGGCTGAGGTTAACGGCAGCAACCCCCCGCTGCGCTGTTTGGCAGCTGTGCCCGCTGTCTGTGCAGTCCTCCTGGCTCTTAACTCGACAGGCTGCGGGCGTGAGTGAAGACACTGCGGGGTAAAAAGGAAGTCGTGAGCCGCCTTGCCGGCGGCTAAATCCGTGTCTGAAAATCGTGAAGTCTAACGCTGGTGTGTGTGGTGGCTGAGGTTAACGGCAGCAACCCCCCGCTGCGCTGTTTGGCAGCTGTGCCCGCTGTCTGTGCAGTCCTCCTGGCTCTTAACTCGACTTTTTTCTAGGTTTTTGTTATTAAACTAAGCGCTGGTGAGCCAGCTTAACCCCAAAAGACGATCTGGATGTGGTGTCACCGTGTGTTTTGCAGGCTTTCAGCTTCTTTTAAGGTTTTATGTTTGTGTGGCTGCACAGGTATGAAGGAGAGCACTGCCTACCCTGCGCTGTCTGCTGGAAGATGGCAGGAAACTGCCAAGCTCAGGGGACTGGCAGGAAAGCTTCCTTCAGAAAAGACAATATAACTTCAACATTAAAATGCAGCCCTGAATTCTGTTGGTTTTCTTTTAAGTAGAGACCTCCTGAAATAGTGGAAGTGGGTATTAATGACATTTGTGGATCGGAGGGAGCCAAGAACAATCTTTAGGGGAAACAAGCAAAATAATGAAGGCTGAGCACACAGTGCCTGACCTGTCCTGGCCCAGCAGAGCCTGATTTCCTTGCCAGCTGTTAAATGGAAGCAGAGGTGCAAGAATTTGTGCCAGAATTTGGTCAAGGTGGAAGTCTGTTTAGGAGTAATAATGATTATAGCATATTTCCAGGGGATTTTGGAAGTGGGGAAGAAAAGACACTGCTCTGCTTTTTGGGGAAAATCTCACAAATCTCACAATGTTGACCATGAGGAGACAGAACTCAGAGATTAAATAGTAACTTGTTTTTTGTGAGCAGTGATTGTCTCAGTGAAGTAGCTCTGTAGTAGAGTTTGTGATAGGTAATCACAAGGTATTTTATACATAATATACAATATTATGTATACAATACATTGGTGTTTTTTTTATTTGAGCAATTTTAAAAAAAGTCTTTAAATACAGTTGTTTTGGCACAAAAGCCTTGATGCCTTAGGGATTTACAAATACAATAATATTAATAAGCTAGAGATATTAACTTTTCTTAGTCCAGCTGGCTCGCATCTCTCAACTGTGGTGATAGAGGTTGTGTGCATAAAACATTGCTAAGGAAATGGTAGCGGTTGGCTTGCTACAGTTTCAAAAATTGCGTGTGTAATGGCAGATAACCTGCATGGTTGCTTGTGAAATAATCATTTCCTTCCTCATCTTCAGTGTGATGACTAATACGTTATCTGGACATTTCTTCTGAAAACTTGCAGTTAATGACATATAAGCCCATGAGGGGAAGGATGTGTGCTTTTGGATTAAAATGTCTTAAATGTTTTTTGTTTGTGTAATCTCAAAAGTTCAGTTAATATTTTTCTGGGTAAAAATAAGCAGTGACCCTTGATTACTCTCTGTGTTCTTCTGAAATACTAATGCTAGCTCCTGTTATTTTAAATGCTTAAATTCCTTTAGCTGGTTTACTGCCACTGTAAGGGGCTTCCTTATTTCAGGGCTCATTTTGACAAATGAACTGTAAAATCTGTTTACTTGTAAGAGCTGTGAGAGTAATCCCACTTCAGGAATAGCTAATAAAATATACCTAGATCACTGTATGGCTTTGAGGAGGGTTAGTAAAACAGGTGAGTGTTCTGGTTTTGTTTTTAAAAACTGATTTCACTCGTGGTTTCCCTGGTTTGTGTTTATGCTCTGAAACTTTGAACAAGCTGTGTGCAGTTCCACTTTAGTAGGGTTTATGTGCACGCATGTGTGACATGGGGATTTTTTTTCTGGTTTACTAGAAAGATTTATCTTTCCTCCTCTCTGCCATTTCCCTTTTGTAGAGTGAATCTCTGGTGGTTTGTGATGTTGCTGAAGACCTGGTGGAGAAACTGAGAAAATTCCGGTTTCGTAAAGAAACCAACAACGCTGCCATTATAAGTAAGTCAAAAATGTGTCTGACAAAAATGGCAAGACCTTGCAGAAAATCCTGTGTCTCCTCTTTTCCTTACCATGTAATGTTGCTGCTGTAACAGGTAAATGTGAGCCAAGAGGCTGTTCTTTGTATGAACTTCAGTACTTCCAATTTTGTCTGTGCTTTTAACAGCAAAGCAACACTGGTGTTATTATACAAGACTGGCTCTGCTCTTAGTAGAGTATTAACACTTAATTGCAGCTCTGAGCCTACCACTGGTTGTAAAATGGCAGTGAAAAATGTCAAAAAGGCACAGTGATTTTGCATTTGTAAATTTTGTAGCCTTTAGGTAGGGGAGTTTGACATTTCTGTCTTTGAAATTTGAGGAGTGTATGAACAGTGTATGAACACCGCTTAGACTGCATGCTTCTCTTGGCTTCAGTGATTCTGTGAAGTCATGGCATAGACTGAAGAGGCAAGATAGAAGCACAAGGAATATACTTGTGGAAGAATGTTAAAATGCTTCATGCATATGTTGTATAAATCGATTGAAAAAACATTGATCTATATTTTATTTTGATTTATAGTGAAAATCGACAAGGATAAGCAGTTGGTGGTACTGGATGAGGAGCATGAGGTTTGTTAAATGAATTGTAAATAAGAGTATCTTCAGCCTGCAATGTATTGTTGTCTCTAAGGTACTGCCTTAGTTTCAAATTGTTATCAAACTCTTTAATCTAATTTGGGTCATGAGCTTATTTAAATGCATGGTCACTCTGCATGTAAAGCACAGCACTATTAATAGTGGAACTATGCAGAAGCAATTGAGTTGACTAATTAATTGCACCCAAAAAAAGTGATTTTAAAGCTGTTACGATACAGCTATGTACAAAGCATCTTTGGCACCTGCTGGCATTTTAAGAGATTTCTGCTGTGTTTCTGTGTGGATCTGCATATTTCACTCTGAGCTGATCTGCCATCAATTAGAAGCTGGGATTGCTAATCCTCTGCAGCCTCTAAATTTGATAGGTGGCATAATAAGGTCAGCCCAGCATGTAGTGTTTTCTAATGGTACATAGGGCAAAATTAAATCCTTCCCAGGGATTTGAGCATTAACCATAGCTCTTATTCCCCAGAATGTAGAAATTTGTGTGACATTTAAATAGAATGGGGACTCCTCTTTGCTTGCTTAAAGAGGGAGGACCGAATTTTTCAAAAGCACCATCTATGTGGCTGATTTTAACAGATACTTTTTGGTGTGTGCTTGCTTACTTCTGTTTAGCGCTGGAGTTAGAAAAGCATGGTAGCTGCCAGCATATCCAACTAGAGCCAGAAATGTTTTCTAAACTCATTATGTCTAAAATAGGGATCATTATTCACGCTAACATGAATTCTGTGTTTAGTCATAGGAATCTATTAGCACACGAGTTCTCCTCAACTATAGTAATTTGTCTGAGAGATCGGTATCGGTTCAACTGAAGATGTTTATTTAACTTACAGCTGTTTCACTGTTCTGTTATTCTGCTGTTGCCTTCATAGTGTACCTTCAAGTGCAAGATTATTTGTTCAAATATTGCTTGTGTTTAATGTTACCAGGGTATTTCTCCTGATGAACTAAAAGATGAGCTGCCCGAGAGACAACCTCGATATCCTTCTTGTGCTGCTGGCATTTAGTCTTACTCACTCCTGGAAGCTGTTCAAAATGTTCAAAGTTGGACTTCACCTTTTTAGGCCAATGCTTGTCTGTAGTGTGACTTCACTGATACTTTATTTGTGAGATAACCTAGGGATCAGCTCTCGTGATGCACTGAGCAGTCATTCCACTTCTTGAAAAAGTGACTGACACATTTAAGCCTTTCCTGAGATTTTATTTCCTTTCAGAATGTATAATGTTTGGGGAAGTAAAGCGAAGCCACGCTACTCTTAATGTAAAGAAGTGAGTAAAATGCATCAGTTTTGTTTGTGGCTATTTCTAAATACAGAAAAGTGCCTGTGTAACTTAGGATCTGTTTTGGTACTTTCTCAATGTGTGGCCTTTGCTGTTTTGCTGCAGTTACTGATTCTGGGCATGCTGTAGGCATTTGATCCAGGGAAGAATCAAAAAAAAAAATACAAGACAAGTACATTATGCTTTAAGTAGATGAAATAAGAGGGGTACTTGCGTTGTAAGTGAAGAAAGTATCTGCCTCCATTATCCTTAAAAGCTGGCTGGCAGTACTCCACATGCTGCTCTGAATCTTTCCTTTCATGACCATGTGCAGTAGGAGGCTGTAAAGCAGGAGTCCTAGCTAAAACTTGAGTTCAGATTCAGCAAAACACCTGAAACAATGAAGTGCTTAGTCCACAAAGAAAGAATTTGGCTTTCGTTAAGCCAGAAACACATTGGTGGGTGTGGGAAGTCTTTTTACAAAGCTGGGAGAGGAGTATATGTGATGAAAGTATATGTGATTTTTAGCTCTGATGTGAAACGGTGATCCAGAGACAGCCCTCACCCCCAGCTGTGGTTGAGGTTGGTAAAGATAGGCAGGGTCAGTTCAAAAGTCAAATATGGAGGTGGAGACAATTTGTCAAATTTAAAGCATCTTCTAGAATGCAAGACTTATTTGTGCCTGCATCGAGCTCTGATAACTGATATCCTACTGAAATCACTGATTCCTTAGTTTCTTTAACCTCAGAAAAAACATTTATTGTGTATAGTTACAAGTATCAGCATGATGATGGAAGAGTTTCTTATCCGTTGTGCTTTATCTTCTCCAGTCCAGTTGGTGAGTGAACATTGTGAACAGTAGCTGCTATGAGCTGTGCATATGGGAATATTCTTTGCTGTAGAAGATAAAAATAAGTGCATTAAGCTTGAATAGTGGTTCATATGCTAAAAGCTAGATTTGCTTATGCCACTGCTGGAAGCAAGGCACTATAAAGCTGTGAAATTTTCTGGAGACCTTCTTTGGCAGACAGGAATCTCTGGTGTGTTTGCTCCATCCTCACCATCAGCTTATGACAGTGCAGATGCTTCCATTTGCCCATGTATCCCGAGTTGCTGGAGGTTTTCACTGCCTCTGGGATCTTCATTTAGGGCACTTAAGAAGTATGATAGGAGAGATTCTCTTTTCCATTTCTGAAGGCTGAACAGAAATGTGAGCTTCCTGCATAGCTGGCAAAAAGGTGTATCTTCGTAAACATGCCTGACTGCTGCATTCTCAGTGGTGAGTGCAACAGCCCCCTCCTGTAAGGGGAAAGAGCCTGGAGCACTCTGCATCTCTGTATGTGTAGGTTTAACCAAATGTGTTTTCTGTCACCCACTCGTCAGATCTTGGGGAATCCTCAAAATATGACCAGATGAGGCTGAGGAAATGAGTGAGGAGAGGGCTGGAAGATAACATTTCTGTTCCTGAGGGTTTCTGCTCAGCTCTGTCCATCTTGCTATTTAGGCACTAGTGACTGGGTGGGAAGAAATCCCTCTCCTCAGAAGGGCATGGGAACCTGTGTCTACCGATGGAAGGAACAGGACTCCCTAAAAGGGATAGGATGGCATTAAGAGAGAAGGGTTTTCCGGGGGGTCTATATGCAGTGGGCAGCAACACAGGATGTCCCCAAACATGCTGTGATTTGAAGGTCTAAAGGGCTGTCACAACTGTAAGTGAAAGAAGGAAAAGAGAGCTCTGTAGCCTAGATCTAGGCAGGTTTTCACTGCTGGGTGGACAAACAATGTTCAAGGAGAGAGGGACTGAAATCTTTGGTTGTCCCAAGTTTATCTAGAGCAGTAGCTTCCTCTGCTTGCACCACAGCAGCCCTCAACTTTAACTTACCTGCATGGGGAACTGTGTAATTTTAGTAGAAGCCAAATAACCTGTGACTCAATTTGACTTAGAGCTGAACTGCTCCTGTGGCTTCCATGTGTGTTGTGAATTTAATAGGGTAGCTTGCTGGTATTGCTGGATTATCCTTGGTATCCTCTAGACAATGATAAACTGATTGCATTGTTTTACCTTTCATTACTCAAAACTAGAATAACTAGGTAGGTAAAAGAATTTAGCAACTTGTGAGCATGTACTTCTGTAGTTACCTGAGAATCTGTTTGAATGTCCTGGGTGTTACTTCCCTTGAGAAAAATATATATTTTGTGAGTTAGAACAGCAGTAAGAAACTTCTTGGGAGACCTAGAAATGGCAAAGCAGGCAGACTTGTAGTACTTCCTAGGGAATAAGACCTATGGGTGGCAAGATTTGAAAGTCCACTTGTATCTGGAAACTTCTAAACAAGCAACTTCTTAAAAAAAAAAGTCTCTTTTCCTTGAGGTTTTCTCTTTCAAAAACTTTTCTGCAAACAAGTTAGTGGTTAGGCTGGTACTGAAGTCAATGAACTGTCGGCTGGGACTCCAACCACAAGTTAACTCAACTGTGACTGAACTTGCTCCGTATTCAGGGTGGGGTGGGGGAAGTGATTTTGTGCTACCAATTCAGTTTGGGGATTTGGGGAGAGATGAGGAGAAAGAACAACAAATTCAAACTGACTTGGTTTGTTCTTAGTTTGACTCCAGCTCAAAGCCATATGCTGTAAAGATCTGTTTAAGTGTAACTAGCAAAGACGTAGGAATCTTCCAGAAACAGCAAGAGGACAAAGAATTAAATGTAGTGTAATCAGCATGCTGCTGTAGCGGCAGGAGGTACTGCTTTCTTGGTTATGATTCAGGTTTGACTGCTGCAGTATTTGACATCAGCAGAACTACAGATGCATGTTGAGACCACCAGTTCAACCTGCACAGCTATTACTTCTGGAAATACTTTTCAAGTACCAGATATGAAAGTAAGAGCAAGGATGATTATGTGTATAAAGAAATAGGTAATTTTTCTGAATGGAGGCTTCAGCTTTCAGTTTGGATTCTTTGGAAAAAAAATCTGATTTTTGAAGTATTGCAGTCAAAATAACTAAACAAAACATCTTTTTTTCTCTACACAACTACAGGATGTAAGCCTGAACAGCAGATGATGTATGCTGGAAGCAAGAATAAGCTTGTACAGACAGCTGAACTCACTAAGGTATAATTCCCTAGTTGAAATAACCATCTTCCCCTTAAATGCAGGTTGCAGAAGCTGTTTTGTCTTGCTTGCACCTATCAGAAGAAGGGTGTTATGAGACTTTGTAATTACAGAGAACAGATTTGTTTTAGGAAGACTGAAGAGAGGGATATGTGTGGGCATTTCTGGAGTTTTAGGGTACAGGAGGAACAGTGTTCTCTAAAACTTAAATATCCATTGATAGATGAATGGGTATCTCTATGGATAGTAGCATGGATATCTCTACTTCAGGGAATTTATTGATGGAAGGAATAGACTGAAGTCATTATGTGTGGTGCAGAGTTGTTTTGTTGCATGGTTTATCGGTTGTATGCTTGCACAACATAGCCTTCAGAATAAGTTACATATGTGCCAAGTGCTGAACAATTCTAAATCTTCCTGTGTTTGCCTTCTCCAGTACTTGAGACCAGAAGAAATTACTGCATTCACAAGGACTCTGTGTATATATTGTTTTTTAAACTTGCCGCTTAATTGTCATTTTGAACATCTTTGAAATCTCTGCTTAATTGGCACCTAGGTTTCTTAAAGTTTTAGTTTCAGCCAGTAAAGCTAAATAGTCAGTGGCCACTTCAGGTCTTTCATAGAATATGAAATTACTTCACCATTCCGCAAAACCACTGTTGAAGTCTGTTGAAACTGCATCTTAGAGGCCTGGGAACTCTGGCATCTTTGATAGAGATAAGAATTCCTTGGGGAGAAAGGCAGTTTTCAGTGAGTGAGAAGGCAGAGTTAATGAGGAGAAGGTGAAAGCTTGGGAAGTAGCTGTTTTGGAGTTACTGTCAGCTGTCAAGCGAGAGAAATTCAGTCTGAAAGGCTTTTGAATGAAAGCCTAGAAGTGGATATAGAGGTCTATGATCGTCTTCCTTCTGAAGCTGGAGAAGATAGCCTGTTTCCAGTTTGGGTTGCATACTTGTTATTCAAATGTGCTTTATTCTTGCCACTCACTGGGCCATGTTTCATTTTAGCTCATGCTGTGACTTCCTCCTGGTGTGATTTCTGTGTGTGACTCAACTGAGTCCTCTTATTTTTTCAGCAGCTTCCATATTAGCTTGGCTTCTGTTAAGCTGTTCTGTTTTTGTCACACTGAATTTTTCATTTTTCCCTTCTCTTTTACTTCAAAAAAACCCATAAATCAGTATTAGTTGATAGTAGTGGATCACTGGCTGAATACAAGCAGCAGTGTCCAGAGCCCACTCCAGCAGTGATGGGAAATGAGGAAGAAAAGAAACTTGAATTGCTTCATGAAGAAGATGAAGATGGTGAAATGGCTGAGGACAGGACTAAAGAGGAAGTTCACTCCACAGAGCAGGTTGACAGAGAGGCTTATTTTGTGACTTTTACAAAATCCCATCCATTCTGCTGGGCCTGAGCATGCTTTTTACAGCAGTGTACACCACACCACTGGAAGGGCAAATAACTGATTTAGTGCTAGCGTAGCTTTATTTTCAGTGACAGAATAGGAGCAGCAGTCTCCAGTTAAAATGTTTTTCTTGTTTTCATTGCTTCACTTTTGAAGGTCTGTGGATTTGTAAAATTTACTTACTTGTGGGCATCTCAAAGGCTCCAGTTAGCAATACAGAATTAACTTGACCTTTCTTCAAGGGTATTAAAAACCAAACCAAAAGAGATACTTGCCCATATGGACTGTAAACAGTATACTGTTGTCTTTGCATTTGTTTTCTGCTTCAAGGATATGTTAAAGGTTTGTTTAAGACTTCCACAAAACTTTGGATTTGTGGTTTTTGGTTGGTTGTTTTTTTTAATTCTGAGGTATTCCAGACTTGTTTCTTACAGGGAAAACAGTATGCTACTGGATACTGTGGATTTATTTCAGTTCAGAGAAGGAGTTGGTTTTTGTTTGGTTGTTTTTTTAAGTTGTCTATTCTGAGGTATTCTGGACTTGTTTCTTACAGGGAAAACAGTATGCTACTGGATACTGTGGATTTATTTCAGTTCAGAGAAGGAGTAACTGTCTCAGGCTGAGCAAAAAATTCCTGAACTTTGGGCTTAATTCAGTCCAGTGGTAAAATTAATTTGTTTCTCAAACAGACTTATCTTCTTGCTGAGATAATGCATGTGAGCTGGTGCCAATTTAGAGTAACTTTAGAATGTAGTAGATGTGCTGTTCTCACATATTCTTAAAGAAGAAGAATGAAGTCTAGAAATAGGAACTATGGGATTCCTGTTCAAGTTGGTAATACTCCTTGCCACTTAGTCTGGTATATTTTCCACTGATTTTACTGTAGAATATTAACCAGTCCTTTCAAGAAAGCATATGAAAACTCTAGGTTGGTTACTGGTTTATTGTGGCTCAAACAGCTTCTGTGGAAAGGTGTTGATCGCATTGTTTGCTTATCCCTTTCAAGTGCCATCACCTCAAGAATTTATGCAATGTAATTTTGTTTAGGTATTTGAAATAAGAAATACAGAAGACCTAACTGAAGAATGGCTGCGTGAGAAACTGGGCTTCTTCCATTAAGAAAACCTCTGTAATAAGTATTTATGTACCATCCTGATAATACTGGAACCAGACATGAATAATTACATCTAAAAAAATGCACTGTATTTACATCTGTTTCCTGCAGTATATCTCTTGTGCAAAGTTTGTGCAAAGAATAGCAGGTCTGTCTCCTTGAAGTAACCAATCTTTGCAGGTGCTTCCTTATTTGTACCTGTTAAAAGGGAATACTCCTCTGCAGGGACTCCTTTTGCACTCTTGTGACTAATATTTCTATAACTAAAATAGTTCGGGTTTGGATTTATAACTATCTACAAACATAATCTGGAAGCTGACGCTAACTTTTTTCTGAGCTACAAATGCATCCTTATGACACATACTAGCCATTTATATGCAGAAATTGTGTACTGTCACTTACTTTTGAGACTTTTTGACTTAATGTCTTCTCAATTTTGAAAACTATTCCCTGGAAGCGTTTAGTATCAAAAAGACAAACTCCTTGTACAGCAAATCTCTACGTTTATCTTTGAGTCCGTGTGAACTTACTCAAATTCTTGGAACTCATTTTTGTCATTCCAGTCGTTCCTCAGTTGACTGAGTCAATCTTACTAAATTTCAGGGCAAATTTGACTGTGCAGTTCTCGTGCTAACGCAGTCTTACAGGAACTAGGTGATAACTAAGGGCTGAATTACAACTCTGGTTACTCTTGTGCCAGATGTCTTGCATATATAACTTACTACACTGTTAAAAAGTTTACCTCTTTGCTCATTTCCTGTTAAAAGAACACCTGTTAATACTGTGTGCCTTTAATTTGTTAGCTTTAAAATTACTTGAGAATTTTACACTGCCACTTAGTACAAATTTGGTAAAAAAAAAAACCTTTGTGAAAGCATCCAAGTAACCTTTTTTCCTAGTGCCTAGTGTTGCAGTTGACATCTGTAAAGGGAAAGAAAAAAGCTAACCTCATTTTCTTTGAAATTCCAGTCATCTGCTCCATTTGCAGGAGTCAGGAGGTTAAAGCTTTTCACAATAATGAATGATTTGTATCTCTTTTGTTATAAAAGTTGGCCACACGTAGCTTTTGAGTACTTTAATTACAGTCTCTAACTTTCTTAACTTCTTGTTGGTCAAAATTACATTCCAGATAAAGCTTTTGCATAAGTGAGAATTTGAGTTTCATTTACTTACAGTTCATCTCTTTGAAACAGCAAATATTCTAATGTGAAAATAGTATTTAACTTTTATAAATGACCAGTCTTTTTACAGGTCTGTTTTATATTCGCTAGAGTAGTTGCCTGATATGGGCCGTGTCCAGCCCATGCAGCAGCAGCAGCAGGAGGACTCATGTGACAATATCTCACTATCTTGAGTGTTTGTTTTGCTACTGAACAAGTGTCTGCGTAAGAGCAGCTTCCTGTTGATAATGTACCTTAAAATACAGCTGCCCTAACAAATCTGTTCAGTGGGAAGGAATTCAGTGTTAAATTTTTGGGCCAGTATTTCATGCTGTGAAACCTTTGCTGAAAGGAGGTTTATTTTTTTTGTTTGTAAACATGTGTTAGTGGTAAAACACTAATTCCTCTAAGATCACAAGGAATTCATTTGCAAAGGGTCCTCAGTGTTGGTAAATCTCTTCTTAGTATGGTGTTACTGCTCATTTATTTGTCTACAAATCTGACTCGAGAGGAGCTTTTCAAAATACATGTTAGAATGATCCAATTAAATTGATCTTTTCAGTGCGGGAAAGAAATGCTTGTAATTAAATTTCTGTGTTAATGTAGTGAACTGGAAAAACAATTTTATTTCCCTGGACAAAAAAAAAATGTTGATTATGAAACAGTTGCTTGATCATTCTGTACTACGGATCAATAAAAACGATGTATCCTGTGACAAACATTGTATGAATAAGAATTTGGTTTAAAAAATAGTCACTCTAAGCATCAGTCTTGAAGCAGCAAGAATTTTGGTTTGTTGGCATTGTACTAAAGGTGAGGCACCTCAAGGTACAGCGTGAGCGAGAGAGGAGCTGCCACTTGTAACGTTCAGCTTGATTTGCAGCGGGGAAAACTGGATTAATAATCTTGATCATTGTACTTTGTCTGCTGGTGGGCTGCCAGCATCCAACTGCTACTTGCACAGGTCTTGACAACAGTAACTGTAAAAGGGGCCGGTCTCTCTTGGGAGGAGCTGCTGCACTCAAATGATCGAATTTGATTCTTCATCTCTGGATCACTCCACCTCCTGCCAGGAAAACGTTGCTCCTTCTGGTTGCGTCTTCAGTCCAAGTTATTTTTCGTTCACTTTGGATGTTCTTGTTGCTTCCACTTAAGGCCCTTCTGCCTTGGGTGCTGCCCCTCAAGTCTTGTGGAAAGCAAACAAATCCAGTGTTAAAGCCCACTGTCTTGTGAAAAGCCGTGTTGGTGCTGCTCAGCCCACCAGTGTTCTTCAAACAGTCTTGGTAGCTCTGCCTCCTTCTCCTCTGAGCTGTGGAAGTGAGGAAGCAGCTGCAGGTACTTGGAGGATGAGTGTGCAGAGGATGTTTGCTGTTCTCAACTTCTGTGGTTTCCTTGTTTTTAATGCAGCTTTTTGACACAACTGTCTGCTGCTTACAGTCCTAGGCTCCTGAGACACAGGTAGTGCTAATACTTGATTAAACAAAGACATCAGTTATGTCAGAATCTTTCCTGCGCAAAAAATACTTGTTTTTACGACATACTTCTCCCACTTAAAACTGTGTTTTCTGTACTGCTTCCTCCTTAAAATAAGTGGGAGGCAGATGTGCCCGTGTTCAGAAGGCCAGTATGTTCTGACTGTGCTTTACTAGCGATTTGCCTGTCTGTAATCATACGTTTGTCTTGAATTTTCAGATCTCTAAAGAGGGTTCAGACTAAAGGACGACATAAATTAACTAATGCCACCTATGGGAGCCTTTGTAGCGAAAGGTCTGAGAGTCAGCATTTTCCATTGTGAGCTCCTATTTTTCAGGAGTTAGGAAGTTGGCCATAAAATCCTTGGCCTGGAGTTAAAGCTCTCCCATAAAGGGAGATTTTGGCCATAATTAATCTGGTTTGCTTTAAATATTGAATAGATGGCTGGGATACAGCTCTTGTAATCCTGTTAATTGATGGTAAGCTGAATCAAAGCATGAATTTGCATGTCAGCCCATAAAATGGACTTGTATTGTTTGAATATTTTTAACAATAACGATTTAAATGCTGGTATTTGATGGTTTAAGTGTGTTTCTAGTATCATGAATGGAGGCAATAATGTGGGTGTTGACACCTTTTCACTTCTCCAAAGGAGCATCTCATGCATTTGTACCAAGTTTCCACTTTTGTATCTTTAACTGTAAAATATTCCAGAAACAAAGTTAAACTGGTAACGGGGATCTGAATCTAACACGCAAAAGCAAGGGAGTTAAATTCCTCACCTGTGTGCTAAAACAAATGTACTGCAATGTATTTTTTTTATACATACATCAAACAACTGTGAGGTGTGATGGGCCATGAGGAGTGGCACAGTGAAACTCCTGCTTTTGTTACAAGATCCAGACTCTGTGACTTGTGTACCAGGACGTGTTGGGGTTGGCACCAGCACTGCGAGTGGTAAAAGGTGCGAGAGGTTCACGGCCAGTTTTGAGAATTAGGCATTTCCATGAAAATACCAATAACCAGTACAACTTCCATATGCTGTTTAGTCTCTGCTAGTTCACATTGCATGTTTACTTTCAACCAAATCTTTTTTTTGCTAAGCATGGTGCTTGTATTGGTTTAAATAAAATGTTTAATTAAGAGGTTCTGTTGCCTTGTTTTAATTGCAAATGAGCACATCTAGCATGGGTGTCTGACAGGGGAAAAGCTATTAACATGAGGTATGACCTTCCTTTTCTCAGCTTCCTGGAGTTTGTAAATGTGGCCACAGTTCTCCTCCCAGTTCTCGTAGGCTTTCTTCCATATCTGCTGTTCCTTTTGGTGACAAGATCCAGTGATCTTGTGGGGATGACAGATTGCTGTGGTGTGTACGTGCATTTTCTTGTATGGCCTTGCCTTGCTCTGACAAGGCTCTGTTCTCTAATGCAGCCCTGAAGGAGATAATTTTAATATATTTGCATAGATGGAGTTAGTCAGCGTGGTCTGTTTTGTCACACTGCAGGGGGATGGTCTCCTCTGGACTGTCTTGTCATGTTTCATTCTTCCAGGGACTGCAAACATATTCTTGGTTAACCTTGTTCAACTGCTGGGGGTAAGACGTCTTATCCAGAACATGATGGACCTCAGCTGAAACTCCCCTGGCAGCTCCAGCAGTTCCTCAGCAGGAGATGGAGGGGAGAAGAGAGCAATTATTGGCCAGAAAGACTCTGAATGCAGAACAGATGTGAACATTGGGAAAGCAACACGACTGTCTTTCACGGCAAATTTACTACTGCCATGGGGAAGCCCCATCAAGGCTTTTTGAAAGGTGGCACTGTTCACCATTCCAGCTGTGGCAGGCAGCTAGGAGCATGAATGCGGCTTCTCTCCCCGTTTCTGCAGTACTCGACAGTTATTACAATGCATCCTTGAAATCCCCACGCCGAACAGCATCTGCTGTTGTCCCCTCTTTTCTGCAGAAAATGGGAAGACGGCAGAAGAAAGTGGGGCAGAAAACATCAAGCTGAAAGGGAAAGGGGCACCAACCATCCTCCACTTTCACTAAAGCTTAGGAGGGCAGAAGTAGAGCAGAAAAGTTCGGGGTCAGCGCCCTTATTGAGCTGAATAAGGAACAAGAGAGATTTAGCATTTCTTCAAAATCGCGTCTCATTTTAAATCTCTGCCGTTGGAAAATGCTGCTGGATAATTGGAAGGAGAATGTGCCCGTCTCGCTCACAAATGCAGTCTGCCCGGCCATCTGCTCAGACAGCCAACAAATCCGGGATTGATTTGTGAGTGTGATTAATTCAGCTAGGACGACTGGATCAAGGGATCAGCGAGAGACAATATTTAGACTCTACCTCCAACTGTGAATGTGCAATTGTTTGGTTCAGAAGTACAAAACAAATGGTAGAGCTGCATTACTGGAAGAATAGAAAGAAAAACAGAAGCATCCACTCAACAGCCCTTTTTTCCTTAGATGGCCCTATTCCAGGGTCTCACATAAACCCGCTTTCCCTGTCCGTGAGGTAAAGCAGAGCTCTTCCCATTTCAGAGAGTGTTCCCACATTTTTATTCCCTGCGCTGATGCTGCTTTCCTTGCTGCAGTTTAGTCTTAGGATTTTGGAGCTCCTGGCTCTGCAACCTCGACCACGCGGCCTGGAGAGGCAGAGGAGGAGTGGGAGGCACCCACCCCATCGCTGTGCCTGAGGTTACTGGTAGGGAACTGGTACTGGTCTAGAGCTGGGGCAGGATGGAAATCTGAAGAACAACCAGCGGGGTGGATTTCTAGCACTGGAAAAGCCTTGAGCTGGTTTGATAATACGGATATAGCTGGAGAGATCAAAAGCAAGATTTGTAAAGGAATTTAGATGTAGGTGAAAGCTTTGGGAATCCTACTTAGTGTGATTTAAGCGTGTAAATACACATTGGGTCTGAAGGTATCCTGCTCAAGGCCACATGGGATGTCTCACAGAGACCAGAGCCTCCTGACTCTTTGTTCTCCTAAATTTTGAAGTGTGCTGCAGATCTGGGACTGCAGAAGCTGCATGGGGGCAGCATGAGGTGGTGATAACTGGGCTGTGTCCTCTGGCTGTTGACAAGACACAGAGACTTTGAACAGCTTATTTTTTTACTTTATTTTAGATACAAAGCAGAAACTTTGTATCTTCCCTCCTTTTGGACAGAAACAATAACTATGTTAGGGCTGGTGAAGAGAACCTCACTTGTCCCAGTGAGTAACTGCCCTGATCCTACCTCGATGTGATCTTCCCACCATATCCAGCAGCGATGGGGTTTCTGCTAAAACAATTAGCAGTGAAATAATTAACAAGAGAGACATTTTTAGGTGGTGTTATTTGGCCCTAGACATAACCCCATCTTAACCACTGTGGTTTCAGCTTCTGTTTATGCAGGCTGATATCACTGCACTGGTTTATGTTTGAATCAGAATTTAAAGTTACTCTTTGAAGAGCTAAGGGCCAAAGGTGGCATTTTTGGTGCCATCACTGCTGCAAAATTGTAGCATTCTGGCTAATGCAGAATGTTTTGGAAAATCTCCCTCTTAGGTTGTTACTGAGCAGCTGAATCCTGAAGCACGTTATAAAATACCTCTTGAAAATGCAGTATTGGTCCCTTTGTCTGATTGCACACTGGTGTTATGCTGCGGGCTCAGAATTGTATGGATAACCTCTACATGGCAAGAGAAAAACAAACCCTGTTATTAAAAGGACAGCTTTTCAGTATTTAGCCTATTAAAAGAGAACTGTTGCCATCTGACAGTGAATGTTGGAGGGATTGAGGCCATGAGTGGATTCCATAATGAGATGTGGTGAGATGCCTGGCAGCGTCTTGGGTTTGAAGTGGAGTTTTACGTGTGACTCTTGTTTCTCTTGAGACCTCCTTTAATGTGCAAAGGAATATAAGGTTAATTTGTTCATGTGGTCACGTAAATCATGGTAGAGTCTAAGCAGGGATTCTAAAGATGAGTTAATTAGCGCACTAGGAAGGGATATTTGCCGGTTTGGAAAGGAAGTTGATGCACTCGCAAGTCCAGGGATGTTTTCAGCTGATTGAAGACTGAGCAGTGAATCAGAGTCCTCCATCCTGATGTCTGTAAGTGCACAGACGAGGTTAGTGGGTGGGGAGGTTGTGTGCTTTTGCTGCTTCGGACATGTATTTAAAAGCTGTGCAGGAAGGTGACATCTGCCAGACTACATCAGTCTCCAAAACTGCAGAGAAATTGTCCTCTCCTGAAAACCC